ATCAATCAATCTTTCTTTCGAATGGATTTTTTTTCGGGTTTTTTTTTTTTTTTTTTTTTTTTAACGATCAATCGAGCAATCAGTCAACCAATCAATCAATCATTCAATCAATCAACCAATCAATCGATCAACCAATCAATCAATCATTCAATCAATCAACCAATCAATGAATCAATCAATCAACGAATTAATCAATCAATCAATCAATCGATCAATCAATCGATCAATCAAGCAAGCAATCAATCAATCAAGCAATCAATCAATCAACCAATCAATCAATCTTTTTTTTTCTTGTTTTTTTTTTTTCCACCCAGATTCCCGGACTCAAAAAAAAAAAAAGTTTTTTTTTTTTTTAATGGGGAGGTACCCCTCGACACCCGACCCCCCCCCCAGTGCATTCACCCCCTCAACACCCCCAGGAAGGCCCAAAATTCGTACGTACGGGCCGTACGGGCTCTGGGGGCCCGTACGTGCGATCGTACGGGAGTACGTACAACCCGTATACACTGCCAGCAGTCCCTCTCAGCATCCTTTCTGATGAGGCTCACATTGTTGTCGTAGCAGGTCCCCAAGTCACGAAATATGCTCCTGGTATCCTCTCTTCCAGCCTTCTCCCCTCCTCCTCAGTTCCCCACGATGATTGTGATGTCATCGACTATCCTCCATCCTGCGACCAGCTTCCGATCAGAACCTAATCCGTTCGGATACTTGAACTCTGTCATGCCACATGTAATGGTGGTCAGCATCGGGTTGTTGGATTTCCCCATCGGGATTCCAGACACTTGTTTTTTCACCGTGTCCCCACATCTAATGTATGCATGGTCCAGATCGTATTTGACCATGCTGAATATCTGTTCAAACTGTAGCCCAACGTATCTATCTGCCGCTCTCTTGGTCCTACTAATCGTGCATAACTTCCCTCTCCTGGACACTTTCACTTGCTTTCAGCCTCTGTTCGAGTACCACAACAAAAGTTGCCAGACTGCTCCTCGCACCACCTCCTACAGTATCTTTGTGAACATATCCTTTAATATCGTAGCGTCGTCCTTCTGCTCCTGTGCATCCCATCTCGGTAAACCTTCTTTGTGCTGCCTCTAATCGTCCTGGTAGCTCCTGAATCGCACTCAGCCTGATTCGGGTAAAAGGATTGTTCAGTCGGAAACATCTTGATGAGCTGATGTAGTGCCTTAGAGCCCTCAGACCCTCTTTTGCGCCAGATTTGCTGGTGCGATCGGTCTCCCCTTGAGAGATCCTTGTCTTTGAGGATCATGTGTGCTTTCCCAATCTTGCCATCTGTCTTCCAACTTGCAATCTTCTGTAGGTCGGCTTGCTCAAACTCCTTGCAAGATGTCTATAGAATCTCCTGTTCCTCTTTTCTTACCTCCACGTAATCCGAGTTCCACACGAATGTCTTCCCGAACGCGTGTCGGTATGTCACCGGGCATATCACCGCAGTATCTCCCTGATTCCGATCAATCGGGGCAAGCACCAGTCCTATAGATCTCCTCGCCCACGCTGCCATTTTTCAGTCCTCCCAAGTCTCTTGTTTTGCGTTCCCCTCCGTCATCTGCACAAAACCGCACATTGGTATGTCAACATCCTCCGCCTTTCCGCCGAAGTAGCCGGTGCCCTCCACTATACACTGTATGAAATGTTCCGTCTTCTTCACTTGCGCCTGACTCGTTACATTCTTTGCGTTCCTCATGAAACGTGGTATCCCATTGAGCTATGAGAAGAGTGTCAGAATGTGTCCTTCCTTCGTTGGAAATCTTGTTCCCCTGTATGCGCATTGCTGTTCCCCAACATTTGCGTGTTTGCGGTGATTGTGCATAATCTCACCGACGGTCCGATTTCTATACTACGTTATCCGTATTTTGCTTTAATTTGATTTGCGATAGCTCTGTCCCTCATGCGTTTCTCCACCACTCTCTCTGTCGCCATTCTTATCTTGTTCTTCACAATCCTTCTATCGTATCCCACCTTCACCGTCACCCTCTTCCACACTTCTGCATCATTCTTCCTTCTTATCGCTCGATCTAACTTCAACCTGACGTCATTCTTCGTCTTCTTGTCCCCAAAGAAGCTTGCTGCTCAATACATCCCCACAAGTTGATTTGTAGTCCGTGCTGCCAGCCGTTTGAACTCAAACGGTTTCCTCAACATCCAACGTTGTTCCTGTAGGTACATCGTCGTAGTGGTCTTTGTCTTCACGATCCCGATTAGTGTCGCCGTGACTCCTTTTTGTAGCTCTCCCTTAGTTGCTGCCAGCTTCTTCACCTATCCGTTCACCCAGCACCTTAGTCATCCCAAAGAGCCTCTTCACCTTCTTCCACCCCTCACTCCATATCTCCCCTCCGTAAAACACTATTCTACGTTCACCCTTCGCACCCTTTTTCCATTCCTCTTCCAACCATGTCAAGAAAGATACCCGTTTCTCTGTCGCACCCATCATGCTGAAACTGACCAGCTTCTTCACCTTTTGTGAAGTGCGGTTCAATTTTTTCCGTTCTCCCCTCCCCTTTCGTTTGCCTTGCTTCTTCATCGGCTTACTGTTGCATGTGTTAAGGGCAAGTGAGAAATCTCGAATCAGGTGCTTTTCCATAGCGCGATCATCTTCTTCCTCAGCATGGCGAAGCGGTATTATTAGAATTTTCTCCTTCTTTAGATGTCGCATCCACCTATACAGCTTCGGAGAGAGAGAGACCCACCTAAAACTTTTTTTTCTTTCTTTTTTGTCAAATCGAACGTACAACCCCCCACACGAGTTGTAAGAAAAATGTCACTTTTACTTTTTTTGTTATAATTTTGTAATCTTATTGACACGATTCCTTATAGTTTTACAGTGACAAGTCATTTTGTGGTCACCTTTGGTCTTTCATTATCTCTTTTTATTGGCCTTACTATAGCGGGATTTCAAACTCATGGACTTCATTTTTTTAGTTTTTTATTACCTCAAGGCGTACCTTCGGGGTTTGGGAACTTTGGGGGTTATTATTATTTTTTTTCCCCCATCTGAAAACGACATTAATAGCCTCCCCCCACATTTCACTTTTTTTAAGTTCTTTTTTTGTTTTTCTAGGTGTTTCGAGCAGGGGATGACTTGCGCAGGCGATGTGCGGGCCCCGATTTCAGGCATGCGGCTCCGCCTGTCCGTGGCGTGGCTGCAAAAAAAGTCGGTCGTGCGACCTTGGCCGTGGGGTTGTATCCGGCCTCCTCGACCACGGTCTGCAATGCCACGTAGGCCGTGGGGTTGTATCCGGCCTCCTCGGCCACGACCGAAAGTGTCACGTAAGTTACACAATATCGTCGTTCGCGTGCCACATACATGGACCTGTGCCTCTCCTGCTGAGAGGAACTGGATCATCCACAAGCTCATTCAGCCGTGGGGTTGTATCCGTCCTCCTCGGCCACGGCCGACAGTGTCACGTAAGTTACACAATATCGTCGTTCGCGTGCCACATACATGGACTTGTGCCTCTCCTGCTGAGAGGAACTGGATCATCCACAAAGCGCATTCAAGTGAAGTGGCGAATCTGCCGAATCGGGCTCGAGTTCAAGAACCTCACTCAGTCGGTGGACATATCGACCAATTTGAGACTACGGGGGTGCTAGAAGAGAGGTAAAAGATATGCTCTTCCATGAGAGGATGAAGATATACGACACGACGGTGAGAGAGCTGAGCCCTGTAACTCAGGAGTCCGCCCTGCGGACAACGTCATGGGTGCATCGAGGGCAGAGAGCTTCGTTGAGCCATAAATGGGCTTCAGTGGAGACGTACTTTGGTCACTGCGCTGCTGTGTCGTTGCCACACGAGGTCGACTCCATGTACGACTCCAAGCTAGATCCTCTCACAGGACGAGATGAAGGTGGATCCTTGGTTGGATCTCGACGACGTCGTTGCGTTATTAGTGAGAGAGGCTACGTCTGACGACGACGTCCCCCTTTCAACAGTCCTGGGTAGTTAGATGAGAGCGCCGTCCTCAACAGTTCCACCACTACCACCATTGCCTCCACGTCTGTCGACTTCCACTCCTCACAACACATCCAGCCCACCAGCAGTCGACCGATTCGTGCGTGGATTTGGAGAGGGAGATACTAGATAGTGATCATTCTCATGACAGGCATTCCCCTGCCGTGGAGTTGGACAGTGATGACGGCGACAACAGGTACGATGGCAGTAGCAAGGACGACAACGATCCAGGTTATGATCCGCGTAGCGGTGTGCATGGCGCTCATGTAGGGCGGGACTTGCGCCATGCAGAGAGAGAGAGAGAGAGAGAGAGAGAGAGAGAGAGAGAGAGAGAGAGAGAG